ATTTTGTACGGTGGGCATGCTCTAATCTCCTTGTACTTTGTGCAGGCTGCATTCAGCCTAAGCTCTTTGAACAGGTCTGGGAACTATAGAGACAATCTGTATCATACTTATGTAGGATTTTAGCTGCCAGTGTTGCTGATGTTATGCGAGCCAACTTGGGTCTGGAAGCAATATAATCATATTCATGCAGGGTGCCTCTGAAGCCAAAAAGCTCTGATGAGAGGTGCCACGAGTAATGAACGTTACCCTGACCTCAGCACTGCGTGTACTCAGCTACACTGTTTCTCAACCTGAGCTGGTTTAAGTGCCCAGTGCAGGGCTCTGCCTTGCAGACTGATGAGCTCAGGTAGCCCAACACCTCCTCAGGGACTTCGGTCCAGACTGTGTGTGGTGTAGATAGACTGGAAGGTCTGTAGGAAGTCTGCAGGCGGAGGGAGCTGCTGGGTATCCTTTTGCTTCAGATAATACAGCACACACTTGAGTAGGAGCCTGTTACTCTCTGTGTGCACTCATTCTCTGCTCCTCTTTCCTGATGTGCTGTTTATCCTCCTTCATGATTCCCCACAGTCTCTGGTCCAGGGCACCATTCCTACCAACCTGCCAACAGAGATGCCCCAGCTGATCCCTGTGTTTCCGGGGGGAACTCCGCTGCTGCCCCCAGTCGTGACAGCCAACATCCCTGTCTCCACCCCGCTGCCACCTGCGTCCTTTGGCCTGGTGATGGATCCCACCAAGCAGCTCTCCTCCTCTTCTGTCCTGGATGCCTTTGAGGCGCCGCCCGGGGGAAGTGGCGGCTCCACCTTAGATTCGCTGGATTCCCTGGATCTGCTCCCCTACACAGATTCACGGCTTGATGCCCTGGACTCCTTTGGGACAAGCAGAGGGTCGCTGGATGCCTTGGATTCCTTTGCTGTTGGTAGGTGTGGCTGTATGTCTGTCATACAGCTCTGTCTGTTGGCACTGCAGAACAGGAGTATAAATGTAGAAGAGGGCAGGGAGTTGTCTTGGACAGAGCAGCTGAATATGTCTAGCTCAGGAGTAATGAGAAAGGCTATAGGTGTGTTATCCCAGATAACTAGTATGTACACGACATGAAATCTCAGAGGAGAAAGGAACACAAAGATATATAATAATGAGCGATGAGATCTAAACCTGGCTTGGTGTCCAGGACACCTCCCTTGGTAGAATTTGCTAGACTGTAACATGATTCCTCCACCCTCCTCAATGACTCTTTGATATTTTGGACCAAATGAGCAAAATCCTGGTGACTGTTTTAGATGATAAAAAGATGATGGACCTTGTTGCGCTGGGCAGAATGGTAGAGGCCAAGGTGGGTCTCTCCCATCTTTGGATTCAGGGCATTGAATGTCCTATTGCAGGGGGCAAGTCACTCATGTCAGAAGGAGCAAAACTGTGGAGGATGGTGGGCAAAGAGTAGGTCCTCTTCTGTCCCAGAAGGGAAGGGAGGCTTCTTCTTGGCTAACTTGTCCCCAGTATTGCAGTATGTTGGCAGCAGAAGTATTTGGAGAAGAGCAGAGATTGTCCAGTCAGAACTTCCAACACTCAGTTTTGCCTCAGCATTGGGCTACCTTGGAGTTGCCACCTTGGGTATGCCAGCACTCAGCAGCGTAGAGTTGGAATCAGTAGGGCTTGGGGAACAAGAAGGCCTTTCCTGGAGTTCTTCAAAGACTTAGACAGGTGGTTTGGTGAAAAAGTACTAAAATGTTATGAAATAAATAAAGCAAATGGATTTAATAAGCATTTGTTTGTGGTTTTGTGAGCAGAACTGCCTCTGAAAGTGAAATGATTGTTTTTTTATTTGCGGGGCTCTTTTCCCCTTCTTTTGCCCAGAAGAAACTAGCCCTCAGGAACTGCGACACCCGCCTGGCAGCCAAAAACCATCCCCCGTGGTGAGTGAGACGCTCCCCCGTGCTGATGTCCCAAGGTGCTCTGGAGCCAAGGTAGTAGTGACTTGGGTGATGTAGGTAATTTGTGCCCCTCTACTTAACCTGCCCCAGTGAGTGTTGCCTCCCGTGTTGTGGTAGGGCAGGTAAAGATTTCCCCAGAGGCAGCAGGAAGACATTTGTTTCATCTTCATATTTATCTGCAACTCTGTGTATTGCCAAGGTAAACATGGTGTGATCTAGGTTGTAGGCTCAACAGGGGGTCACAGAGGCCAGTGTCCCACTATATCGGGCAGCCACATAATGCTGAAGGATGGGGTGGAGTAAGCCAGCTTTGTCTTAAAACTAGTGAGGTTCTTTACTACTCTCTGCCACTGTTGGGAGGCTTTTCCAGATACGCTGTTCTGCCCCTGTCCCATGTCTCCAGTCTTGGAAGAAAGGGGAAGGCTTATCTATGGTTAGCAGGCTTGGAACAAGAATTATTCTTTAGTTCCTGTTATCCTGCTATCCCTGTTAACTTCAATGCAGAGCCAAACCTCTGTTCTTGGATTAATCTGCTCCCTGAAGATTCACTGATAAATCGTTTGTTTTTTTCCCAGGTTGGGGTAGGGTTGATTTGAGAACCTTCAAATGCAGAGTGGGTCATGATGGAAGGAATGAGAAGGAGTGAGGGTGGCATTTTGTTACATGTCTCATGATAGAAAACTGAAGTCTCACCAAGAGAGAAAGAGGCCTGGCTTTGAAGTGAGCATACCACATTCTGTGTTATCTTGGAAGAAGTTGTGTGCAGCTCTTTTGGAAATGTCATTTCAGATGTGAACATTTTGATGAGAGAGAAAATGAGAAAGGTTTTTGAGAGACTGGAATGGGGCAGCAGGTTAGAAAGGTTTTTTACCCATGTGGTTGCACAGCTGAGAAGAGAGGTACATGTTTTTTTGCTCAGGTCAGCCTTGGTGGAGCGAGTCACCCAGCTGGGCCCAAGGTCACTGAGCACTTGCTGTCCCAGCCGGAACCAGTAATTCCCAACACAGCCCTGCTGGTGAAGAACCCCCTGGCATCTACTCACGTCTTCAAACAAGCCTGTCATATCTGCTACCCAAAAACAGGTGATATGTTTGCTCTGCCACCCAGAGTGCTGGCCCGGACTAGGGTTTGCCTTTCCCTGGGCTGATGGGGTTATTCTCTCCTGCAGGGCCCAAGGCTGGCGATTATACCTATCGGGAAGGCTTGGAGCACAAGTGCAAGCGAGACATCCTGCTGGGCAGGCTGAAGAACTCGGAAGACAAGACCTGGAAGAGGATCCGTCCTCGCCCAACAAAAACCAACTTTGTAGGATCCTATTACCTGTGCAAAGGTGATCTGGAGGGGATAGGGCTCTCGGTGTCTGGGAAGAGGCTGTACAGTGCGTGCCAGGGGAGGTTGGGAGGGGACTCTCAGTTGGTATCACCTGCTGTCTTTGAGGACTTCCTGTCCCATCAGTAGCCCATGGACCTTGAGGCTTAGTACAATGAAAGGCAACGAGCTCCCACACTGTGGAGAGCAGGCAGCTTTTAAAGTGGTGGAGCAGAAGAGTTGCAAACGTGTAGTGAGTTGCTGTGTACAGCCAAGTGCTCAGAGCTGCCCTGTTGACATGGGCTTTGCTGAGATGTGCCTGCATTAGTCCCACTCCACCCAGCAGCCCCACGGCAGGGCTGTGGTTCTGCCTAGGGAAAAGCTCTCTCTGCCTGCTCCTTAGCTCCAGCCCATCTCTCTGTATGCAGGCAGTGTGACCAGACCGGTCCCTGAGGCAGTGTCATAACAAAGTACCTAATGAGGTGGGGAGGTTGCAGGAGCCAAGATAACAGGGCTCCTTAGTGCTGGGCTGCTAGGAGAACTTAATCTGGATTGGTTTTAAAAGGGGTTGGTTAAATTGTTGTCTGTCCCTGGCCAGGCACTGAATTAAAGCAGGCCTCCATTTTTAGATGGTTTCCACAACAGATGGCACTACTTGAGATTGTCACCATTCAGTAGTTTGCATTAACTTTCCTGAACATCTTGGTGTAGAAAAACTTGGGGGGAGCTGTCTTTTCTTTAACTCTCTGTTTTCTTGCTTTCAACTCCTTGTGAGATGTGGGCAGTGGGAGGAGACAAGAAAGAGTTTAGTTTCTGACTGGGCCACCCTCCCTGTGTGGTGGTGTGTGCTGTTTGTTGCTTTGTAGATATGCTTAACAAGCAGGATTGTAAGTACGGGGATAACTGCACCTTCGCGTACCACCAGGAAGAGATCGACGTGTGGACTGAGGAGAGGAAGGGGACTCTCAACCGTGACCTCCTCTTTGACCCGCTAGGTGGCATCAAGCAGAGCAGCCTCACCATTGCCAAGCTCCTCAAGGAACATCAGGGCATCTTCACCTTCCTTTGTGAGGTACAGAGCTGGCGGGAGGGAGCAGGCGTCCTTCATAATCTCCTCAGTATGTATCTGGGCCATTGACACGTCCCAGCCAGTGCCCTCCTCCCAGAAGGGCAGTGAGCAGTGGATGCAGCTGTGTAGGAGAAAGGAGAGGTAGTTTTCCTCCTTAACCCTGCAGCTGAACCAGGTGCACACAGCCTCATGGGACCGCTTGTCTCTTCCTCTGTCTAGAGATGTTGCTTTGAATTGTAGTTTAGCCCCAGCTGCTTTAGAAAGCAGAACCCTGTAATGCAACAAATTCCCACTTGATGTCTGTGCTGAGCCACTGAGTCGGTCAGTTGAGGATTGGTTCGTGCCATCTTGATGTTCTGCAGCAGAGTTCCCCATCCTGGCAGTGGTACATGTAAAGGGACATGTTCTTTGCTGTGAACTGGCTGTTCTTTTATTTCTCCCCATCGTTTCCCCCTTGTTCTTGCTCTGTCGGCTAACTGGGAAAGAATATGCGGCTCTGACCAAATTTTTTCCAACCACAATGGAAAATACTGTTGAGAATAAGCCAAAAAATGTTGTCTGGAAACTTTTGCAAAAATTCGCTTGCTTTATTTTAAAGCCCTACCACAAAGTTTTCACCAGGCTTCTTCTAACTTTGAACATTAGAATAGGCTGGCTCTGGTTTTTCTTCTCCTTCCAAGTGAAGCGGCTCTGGTTCACTTCTCTCTAAGATTTTCCCAGCATGCTAATTCTTCTCTTCTCAGATATGCTTTGACAGCAAACCTCGGATTATCAGCAAAGGGACCAAGGACACACCATCTGTCTGCTCCAACCTTTCTGCCAAACACAGTTTCCATGACAACAAGTGAGTGAACATTTTTTGTGCCAATGGGAGCAATCTCATCGTAAGTCCAGCCAGTTTAACTCCAGGGCCCTGGTCTCTTTCTTTCTTTCCTTGCCGTGAGTTTCTATCATAGCGCAGCACAAAGCATGATAAACAGTGCTGTGTGCTTCACCCTACATGTTTGCTCCTGGTCCTGAGGGATTTCAGGCATGAGCAAAGCCCTTTGGAGTCAACCTAAGTTTTCCATTGACTTAATTTGCCTTTCAGTTTGGCCTTTACATAAAGGTCAAACCAAAGATCCTCTAGCTCAGGATCCTGTCTCTGACTGGCTGGTAATGAATGTTTAGGAAAACAAGTATAAGAAACATGTCAAGTACACAGTAATACAACCCCTTCTGACTCCTGGCAACCTGACACTTAGAGACTTGCTGAGCCAGAGGAGTTGGTATCTTTGCTGCATATTTTGAAACGCGTCTGATCTCTGAACTTGAGCAGGGCATCACCTGTGGGCTGAGGAAGTTGAAAGTATTTCCCCAAGGTTGATACGGAGTGGGAGGGCAGGGGTTTGGTTTTCCCAGTGAAAGTTTGCCTCTCCCAGAGTTCATTTTCTGTGTCCTTTGCCTGCCCAGTCAAATGTCTGAAAGTCACATGTAAAGAGGAGGGAGTGAAGATTTGGTCATTTGGTGCTTCATATTTCTCTGGCCTGGCTGCAGGTGTCTGGTCCACATTGTGCGTTCCACCTCCCTGAAATACTCCAAGATCCGCCAGTTCCAGGAGCACTTTCAGTTTGATGTGTGCCGACATGAGGTGCGTTATGGCTGCCTGCGTGAGGACAGCTGCCACTTCGCTCATAGTTTCATTGAGCTTAAAGTCTGGCTACTGCAGCAATATTCGGGTGAGTGTGACTTGGTGCAGGGCCAGTGATGTGTACACCCAAGTTTCCTCCAGTGTGAGACCAGGGCCAGTTGAGAGGGGAAGAGGGTGGTTTGGGAGTACTGAGAAATTGTCACTCGCTTGTGCTTATACTTGCTGTCTCCTCAGGGATACAGAAAAGAGGGCCAAGGTGTTCTGTGAGATGATTTGACCCTTATGCCTTTATAGGTGCTACTTTATAGGTAATTTGCAGACCAGGAAGCCTTTCCCTTGGGACCAGCTGCATAAGTTGAAATGATTATTAGGTAGGGCTGAATCCCAGAGGTGCTTTGGTGCTTAAATCCTGTGCAAGACTCTAAATAACAATTGGGCCCCAGAGTGAGCGTCTGGTGCAGTGACAATGGCAGTGTGGGCAGGTGACAAAGCAGTTATATAAAGGAAGACTGCGCATCTCAAGTTTCTCTAAACATATTCACCAACAGTGGGAAGCGTCGAGATACTTGGTGTTTATCAAAAAGGCTTTGATGACATACCTCTGAAAAGGCTATTGCAGAAATTATATTCAGGTCAGTCCTATAATGACACTGCCACGTCCTCTCTCTGACCTGCTGGAGGGCCTCTCTTGCTGCTCTCCTGTTAACCGAGTAGATGCTGATCCACCCACAATACTACCTGTGTCTTTTTTCGCTGAAGTGTCTTGTTTAGTGCAGGACCCAGCCCACTAATGGGAGCACTTCAGAGTACATGTTATGGATGTTTCTCACCGTTCTTTGATGTAACGGGGGGCAGCTTCTTTAATTTACTATTCCAGTGCCTGTCACTGTAGTTCAGTGCAATCCTCAGCCCTGATATGGCTCATAAGGGACAGTGATGAACGAGTAGCACATTGTGGCAAATGGCATCTTTTATTCTTCCCGTTTGGCCTCACTTACTTGTGGCCACAGGAAATTAAACAACACCAGAGTTTCTAAGACAGCATGTTGCCAGTGAGCTGCAGGCCACAACTGCTGCCCTGTGTGCTTATGATACTGCCTGTAGTACTCTGGACACTCTAGTATTCAAGCACCTTTCTCTTTTCCCCACCCCATGGTTGTTGTGGGTTTTTTTTTAGTGGTGGTTTGTTTTTGTTTTTGTTTTTTTTTTTTTTTTTTTAATAGAAAAAGCATCCTTACTCCTTCCTTCCCTCCCGCCTTCGCTCCCTCCCTCCCTCCGTAATTTCTTCCTCCTCAGCCTGTAGAAGAAATGGTTAGATTGATTTTTGCTTCTTGCCTTCTTTACTTGAAGAAGCGATTTCCAAGGGGGAAGCTGAGGAGACAAAACAAGCCATGAATTTAACTGCAGAGGTGGTCAGTAAGCCTTGTGCTTATTCCTGTCTTTTCCAACAATGGGAGACCCATCATCTTTTGGGGTTTTTTTTTTTGTTTCTGTTTTTTTTTTTTTTTTTCTGCAGGGCTGTATATATGAGCCTGCTTTCCTTGTGAGTTTGCCTTCCTGGAGTGGAAGTTTACTACCTCTCTAAAGTGTAGCCCTCATTAAGGAAACAGAAGTGAAAGGTTGCCATTCTCTGGGAATGCTTTAGCTTTGGAGCAAGAGTTTGATTTGGACACCATTTGCTCTGCAAGCATAGGAAGGAGGCATCATTCATAGCAGCTTGCATTTGAAACCAATGGGCTGTTGTATTTCACAGCCATTTGAGCTTTTGCAGAGCCTGTGGCTTTGTTCTTGGGGATAAAGGGTTGTGTTCGTGGAGTGTAAGTTCCCAAGATCTGAAAATGTGGACAGGCAGGACTGTTTTCTTCTTCACTGTGGCTTTTCACAGATATAGCTTGCTATCTTCTTCCATCAGTGGAAATTACAGAGTCTTTGTCCTCAGTAATGGTGTTGCAAAAGATGCTGAAATGTTATAAGTAATCAACACATGGGCCTTTTGGTTCCCAGATCATCTCTTTGGAACAGTTCATGCTTTGTAGAGCTGGTGTATTGGAAAACATCCTTTCATATTTGGGAGGGTTTGGGGTTTGGTGTTTTTTTTCACAACCACTGCATTTCTAGACTGTATTGTTGAGTAAGTTCAGATGTCTGGGGCTGGGAGTAGGCACTCACTTGCTAAGAACTTCATTTGAAATTCAGTTATCTGGCAAGAGCTGTATACGCTGCTTCTTTTGGTTCTGCACCGCCAGAATAACAGTGCAGGTGTACAGAATGGAGAAGGTGGAGGTTGCTTTGGCCCTCTGCTTGGTCCAGTGCAGCATGTTAACTCTTCACTGTGGCTTTCCCAGCTTTGTAGTTCTTGTCCCCAAAGTATGGATCAGTCTCGTGTCCAGTCCTGGCATACTTGGACACAGAAGAGGGAGTTACAGTTTTTCTAACTCTACACAGTTTTTTTCTGGAATTAATGGTTAAGAAGGAGAAAATCCACAAACAGCTCTGATCTGGGAGTAGTACCAGCTGCCATTTTGGAGGCCTGAGCAAATGTTCTTGAAGAATGGTGAAGTTTCCTGAATGTTTTTAATCTTGTCCAAGCCCTGTTCAAACAGCAGTATTGTTGCCTGGCAGAGACCTGAACAGCTGAAATCACAGACTGGGAAACTGAGGTCAGGAATACTGTGAGTTACCCAAGTTACGCACAGCATAAGCTGGGATGAAAACTTGTGTGTGCTGGCCATTAACTTCTGGAACATGCTGGCTCCCAGATCAAAGATCGTGTCCATGTGGCATGCCTGGGGAACACCACACTTCAGTAATAAAAGCTGTAGGCAAAAGCAAAGCAAGCAGTTTTGCAACCTGTCTGTGCTGGGCGTGCTGCATCAAGGCCATCCTCAGCACCCCACTTGTTGCAGTCAGCTAGCCATTGCGAGATACTCGCTTCAGGTTTTTTTTGGCAGCTATCTCAAGTCTTTATAGCACTTAAATAACATTGACCAGACAGTTCCTACTCTTACATACTTTTCTCTTGCTGTTTAGTGCTCTGAGAATCGTAGCACCCATCTAGTGGGTTAATGGTGGCAGGGGCTCTTCCCTCACCACTTGATTTGGTCAGGAGCTAATTCCTTAGATAAGATCTGACCAACTCTTTTCTTGTTGTCTGATGTTGCATTTCTGATTCCTGAAACCTTGCAGATCTTTCCTTGCTGCTTACATGCTAGCAGCTGTTCGTTGGTGTTTGTGTTGAATTTCGACTTTCCTCTTCGCCTATTGATCAATGGTTACCCCCCCGCAACTTGAAGTGTGTGACAGGCTAATTAATCTCAGCAGGGATTAGGTGAGACTTCTGGGATCTCTGTGATCTTCCAAGCTAGTGGCAAAAACTCCAATACACAGTAGATTGACAGTAACTAAGCACTGTCTTCAGGGTGTTGGGTAGTATCTGTTGATATGGTGTTGGGGGAGAGCCTTGGTCAAGGTCTTGATCCCTAGTCAAGAATCAGCATCTTGAAGGTGGTGTCTGGGTCTTTTGCACACAGCCTGAGCAGAATACCAGGTCTGAATGAGCCCAGGGGACCAAACTCTTCCCCTTTCATCTTCCTTGAGTGGGAGTGCTGTAGAGAGGAACTTCCCTAACCTGTGCTTGTACACATTCTGTGGTGGTGTCAGGTTCCCTCATGACCCATGTCCTGACATTACCAGTGGGACTGTTGGAAGCTCTCAGCCACACAGGACTTCCTAAGCCCCATCATAGAAAGTCCTGCAACCCCTCCCTCCCTCTCTTCTCTTGCCTGAAGCAGGGTAGCTCAGTCCTGTCTCCTTTTGTTCCCAGGAATGACCCACGAAGATATTGTGCAGGAATCTAAGAAGTACTGGCAGCAGATGGAGGCACATGCCAGCAAACCAGCCAACAGCATGGTAAGTAGGGTGCATCTAGGTCCTGCAGCCTGGTTTTGCTCCCAACTGTTCCAACACTTTTCTTCCTGCTGCTATGCCTGACTGGTCCAAGGCAGACCAGGCTGGCCATTGAGGAGGAGGACAGCTGAGAGCTTTCCTGGTTGCAGTGCTAGTGATGAGCTTTGTGCCTTGTTTTGCAGCATTGTATCTGCTCTGTTCAGTGGTGGGATGAAGCCTCCAGAGCAGGGAGGGCAATGTGCAGAGAATGGTGCTTTGTGCAATACCTTGCTGGTGAAACCGGGGACAGTGGCCACACAGAGTGGGGTTCAAAGGGGTCCTGCTGCCCTTTAGTGGCCAAGGGATGATATGGCAGTTTGAAGGACTGTAAGAAATGACTCATGACCAAAGGATTGCTCGAAATGCAAGAGTGGGTGGAACTTGCAGCTCAGGTGCTGTTGAGGCCCGGTAGAGATCTTAGTGGTGCTTTGCTAGGAGGAGGCTGTGAGCTTTGCCTCTCTTTGTGCCACCGGTCTCTTGGTGTGGGAGAAGGTGCCTCTGGCCACACCCTCCAGCGCTGCCAAGAGCTTTCTCTGGAGAGGTGCGTTATAAGCAAAGGGCACCTCTTTGTTTTCTTCCAGCCTGTTGGCTATGGATGGTACTGCCTTATACTTTTTTCCCCAAGAGTGTGTTCTGTAGTGTGGGAGCAGAGCCCATCCAAGTGAGTACGATTACCAGCCCAGGGCTGAGGTTGAATTAAAGCAGTTTGGCCATTAGAACAGGGAGTATTTTGTTGTTTAATTACTTTCAGAAGATAGGTCTGATGAGATTAGAAACTTCATGCCTCCTAGCAAGCTGTTAGGTGCAGGAGTGATTCTCTCTCCTGCAAAATGGTGGGGAAAGTGTTGTAAATCTTTTTTTGTTCACACTTGACAGCTTTCTTTGCCCTTGTGGAGGCCTGAGCTCTCCAGCCCTTGCCCTGTGCCGTACTGTCAGAGCAAGGGTGCTTCACCTTTGTCTGGGACCTTTCACCCAGGAGTCCCTCTGCAGAGACCAGCACTGAGTACAGCCTGAGAGCACCTTGCGGAGGAGGTGTTTTATAGCAAAGGGATCTGAGTCACTCATGTGGTGTGTAGCAGCTTCTTTTTTGGCTAGGTTACGGGCCAGCAGAAGTATTCTGAAGGCTGTACAGCACTGATGCTGGGAAGAAGCGGGTCTGATGGGCACGGGTTAGCCCAATAGGAAGGATGCAGGTGGCTGCACTGATGCTTGCAGTGGACTCTGTGTACACCTATGTGCTGGTCATGCTGCATGAGATGGAGTCATCTTTGGGGAGATGCTCAGCAACATACCTGTGTGGCCTGTTTTGTGGTCTGAAATAGTTGGAGGAGAGGAATGGGAAGCAACAGTCAGAGTAACCAAGATCTCTAGTTCCCAAAGCTGTCTTACTTGCTTAAGGAATATGTTCTGGCCTCTCAAGAAGCTGAGAGGACAAGTTTTGACAGACTGTATTATATGAGAAGTGAGCCTGGATGATCTGAGTGGGTCCCTGCAGACAGAGCTGGCTATGATCTCTTTCTGCCTGGTGTGATGACAGAGGCAGCTGCCTGCATCTCCACAGTGCAGGAAACTAAGTTTGAGTTTGCAGCAGTTTGTGACAGTAGTTGGATTTATATCAGCAATCACTGGCCCATGGAGAGTGAAGTCTAGTGACTGGTTCTGTCCTTCCTGCTGTGGATCCGCCTGCATTTTCCAGAAAGCTCTGTCTTGCCATTCTCTGTGCATAATCTGGGGATGAAAAAAGATAGACAGACAGCTTTTTTCCTGTAAGCCTTGCAGCTTCAAATTCACCTTTGTCTGGAGGTGCTGCTGTTGGAAGAACAATTTGTTCAGCACGCATGGTCAGAGCATGTCCTCTGAAGCACGTGGGATCTGGATGGTGAGCAAGGGTTTCGTTTCTGTTTGTTGGGGCTCGCAGGGTACAGAGGATCAGAGAGAAATGCCAGTGCCTGCTACATCAGCTGTCAGGGGATGGGCAAAGAGCTACAGTTTCTGGGCCCTCTGGGCAGTGTTAAGGATGATTGCCAATGTCAAAGTCAGCAGGCATGGTCAGAGCATGTCCTCTGAAGCACGTGGGATCTGGATGGTGAGCAAGGGTTTCGTTTCTGTTTGTTGGGGCTCGCAGGGTACAGAGGATCAGAGAGAAATGCCAGTGCCTGCTACATCAGCTGTCAGGGGATGGGCAAAGAGCTACAGTTTCTGGGCCCTCTGGGCAGTGTTAAGGATGATTGCCAATGTCAAAGTGTGGTTGTGCCCCACAAATGCCTGTCAGAGCTGGACTGCACGCTCCACCTTTCCAGGGCATGGTTTGTGCACAGGCGAAGCAGCAGCCTTGTTGGTATAGTCAGGAAGAGCCTACTAGTGGCACCATCAGTTGTCTGTAGGGATTGGCAGCCTGGCACTGACACCGGGCAGAGAGACAGAGTCAAGTCAGTCAGACGCATGTGTTTGCAATAGCAAACTGTGGCTTTGGCATCAGCACGTACTCAGCCAGAGGGCTGTGCTCCGGGATGAGACACTGGCTTGCTGCCGAAGACCCCGGGGGCAGGACTAACATATCTATTGAGAGGTGTTTACTTTTGCCATTATTTTCTCCTGTCCAAGCAGGCTAACGTGACTCAGAGTTTTCTCAGCATCCTTCCAGCTTTCGAAGTTGGCTGCCTGGCAAAGACAACTTCCCAGGAGTGCTGTAAAAGCACACCCCTCCTTCCCACCATCCCGTGTGATCCATGCTCATCCCAGCGCCCTCTGGTCAGCGGAAGCAAAGTCACTCCCAGGGATTTTGCTGCAGTTTTGTCACAGCAGCCAGCTGGATTCAGTTAGCAGCTGGGGCTATCTGGTTGTGGAGAAAAGAGGCAGGCAGCAGCTGTGACGATGCAGGTCAGGAGACTTACCAAGAAGTGGAAGGTGAAGATACATTGCTTGCTAAACACCTGCCAGGGATCTCGTGCTTGGCCCCACAAATTTGGCCCCATAGAGGCTGCTGTAGGAGTAAACCCAGTGGCTGCAAATTGAAGAGGCAGTCAGCAGGAGAGACTGTTGTAGGTATCTGGTTGTCCTCCCATCGCATCCCTAGGAATTGAGGGGGTTTAGCCCTCATTTTTTCTTCTTTTTGAGGACTATTCTGTTTTCACTCCACTAGCCAGCTACAGAACTGCCATAAAAACTGGCCTCAGAATTAGCAATTTAAGCATGGAGATGAAAAGAATGTTTCTAATAAGGGGTACTTGCACTTAAGTACAGCTCGCTCAGGTGGTTGAGTAACCTGGGCTCCTCATATGGTCCCCTGAGGCACGTGGCTTCTCCAGAGAGCATTTCAATATTGCTGAGAGGAGTTCCTGAAGTTGGGAGACACAAGTGGCCGTGCTGGGGCTGTTGCTTTCTGCAAAGCCTAAAGTAGAGAGCTGTCATGCCAAAGACTTATTTATTTGGTTGCCATGGTGCATAGCTAACACTATATTGTCTGGCTTCATAGCAAGAGGTGGTGCCACAGCCCAAGGCACTTTTGCCTGGCTTCGTCTGCTGCAGCCTCATGTGATACTAATTTCCACACTGTTGGTTATCAGCAGCCTGCCAGGTATGTGTCTTGCCTTTACAAATGCAGTCATGTAACAGCAACAACAGCAGCTTTGATTTTTCGCTTGGCTCCTAATCCCATGGGAGCGTACATGCCCACTGGATTGACCAGCAGTTTGCATGACTCTGATGAGGAAATGCACATGGCTTCTCTTTGTTAAGAATTTGTGGAAAAAGCAGCCCAGATCACCAGAATTAGCTGAGAAACATTTTCTTTATCTCTGACCTATTGTGCCTTCTGGAGCCACTCTGTTTTTTGTTTTGCTGGGTCAGTAAATTGGAACCAACCTTCCTGGCTGTGCTGAGAGATCTTGTCACCTGGAGGATTATACGGCAGATAGCACTGGGCTGATAAAAGGGAATATGCCAGCAGTGCCATTATGTTACCTCAGGCCTATAGGTTTGGTGGGTCAGTGGTGAGCTATAGTGTAATTTTCTTTGGAGATAAGTAGAGATTAAAACTACTGTTAAAAGACCACACATCTGAGAGGGAGACATCTTACCGCCTTCTGTGATATCCCAGGTCTCAACCCTGTTCATCCAGCTGCTTTGATGTGTTCTTGGTGATCACCAACACTGGTGAAAGCTGACAGATGAACAAGACGTCTACCAGATGCCACCAGAAAGGCTGTTTTGCAGGCGAGTAGGCCAGAATTGCCACTGCTTTTCAAGAGAGATGATGGTTGTCTGGAAAGGTCCTTTTGCTGGGACATCCAGGGCAGCGATGGCCTCTTGTAGTCAGCACAGAGGCAAAGGTCAGCTCTCCAGTCAGCTTTTCACAGTGATGGAGGACCCTTTGTGCGTCAGCTCTGCCTCTCTGAAAGACTGGGTCTGGAGGATGCAGAGTGGTAGTTGATAGCTTATGTGGCGTTTCCTGGGAGATGCTTTGATTCTGCACTGCCTGTGCTTGCTGTTTTCCCTTTGCCAAGGGATACACATAGGGTCAATGTTACTGCTAATCAGTTGCTGGCAGAAGCCTCCTCCTCAGGGACATGTTTTGCCTGTCTGCTCAGTGTTAGAAGTTGAGACATGGCTGCTGGGATGGGCTACTTATGTGGTTAACAGTCAGAGAGCTGTTTTACTGGTACGTGACCTTTGTGCTTCCAGAGGGTGCAAGCAAGAATTCCTGTGAGGAATACAGAGAAATTGTCCAAGTAGCCAGGGATGAGGTTAGAAAAACTGAAGTCCTGACAGAATTAAATCTGGCCAGGGATGTCAAGGGCAACAAGAAAAGCTTCTACAGGTATGTCAGTAGTAAAAGGAAGACTAGGGAAAATGTGGGCGCTCTCCAGAAGGAAATAGGAGACCTGGTTACTTGGGATATGGAGAAGGCTGAGGTGCTCAGCGGCGTTTTTACCTCAGTCTTCATGGTCAAGTGCTCTAGCCACACCAGCCAAGTTGCAGAAGGCAAAGACAGGGTCTGGGAGAATGAAGAACAGCCCACTGTAGGAGAAGATCAGGTTCGAGACCATCTAAGGAACCTGAAGGTGCACAAATCTATGGCACCCAATGAGATGCATCTGTGCTTCTGAGCGAACTAGTGGATGAAGTTGCTAAGCCATTATCTGTCATACTTGAGAAGTCATGGCAGTCCACTGAAGTTCCCACTGACTGGAAAAGGGGAAACATAAGCCCCATTTTTAGAAAGGGAAACTACATGCTGGTCAGTCTTACCTCTGTGCCCAGCAAGATCATGGAGCAAATCCTCCTGGAAACTATGCTAAGGCACATTGGAAGATGAAGAGGTGTTCAGTGCCAGCCAGTATGGCTTCACTAAGGGCAAATCATGTTTGACAAATTTGGCATCTTTCTACACTGTAACCCCATCAACATCAACTACCTGGACATGTGCAAAGCATTTGACACTGTCCCACACAACATCCTTGTCTCTAAGTTGGAGAGACATGGATTTGACAGATGGACCACTCAGTGGGTAAGGAATTGGCTGGATGGCCGCACTCAAAGGGTTGCAGTCAACAGCTCAATGTCCAAGTGGAGACCATTGATAAGTGGTGTTCCTCAGGGGTTGGTACTGGTACTGTTTAACATTTTTGTCAGCAATATGGACTGTGGGACTGAGTGCACCCTCACAAGTTTGCTGACAACACCAAAGTGTGTGATGCAGTCAACACACTGGAGGGAAGGGATGCCATCCAGAGGGACCTTAACAGGCTGAGAGGTGGGCCTGTGCAAACCTTATGAAGTTCAACAAGACCAAGTGCAAGGTTCTGCACGTGGGTTGGGGCAATCCCAAGCACAAATACAGGCTGGAAGGAGAATGGATTGAGAGCAGCTCTGAGGAGAAGGACTTGGGGGTGTTGGTTGATGAGAAGCTCAACATCAGCTGGCAATGTGCACTTGCAGCCCAGAAAGCCAACTGTATCCTGGGCTGCATCAAAAGAAACATGGCCAGCAGGTTGAGGGACGTGATTCTGCCCTGCTACTCCTCTCTGGTGAGACCCCACCTGGAGTACTGTGTCCAGCTCTGGAGGCCTCAGCACAGGAAAGACATGGATCTGTTGGAGCAGGTCCAGAGGAGGGCCACAAAGATGATCTGAGGGCTGGAGCACCTCTCCTATGAAGACAGGCTGAGAGAGTTGGGGTTGTTCAGCCTGGAGAAGAGAAGGCTCCAGGGAGACCTTATAACAGCCCCCCAGTACCTAAAAGAGGCCTACAGGAAAGATGGGGAGGGATTCTTGATCAGAGAGTGTAGTGACAGAATGAGGGGTAACGGTTTTAAACTGGAAGAGGGTAGATTTAGGTTAGATATTAGGAAGAAATTCTTTGCTCTGAGGGTGGTGAGACACTGGAACAGGTTGCCTAGAGAAGTTGTGGAAGCTCCATCCCCGGAGGTGTTCAAGGCCAGGTTGTAGGCGGCTTTGAGTAACCTGGTCTATTGGAAAGTGTCCCTGGCCATGGCAGGGGAGTTGGAACTAGATGATCTTTAAAGTCCCTTCCAATTCTAACCATTCTAGGATTCTATGATTGATGGTCGGCTCAATGACCTGGGTGTACTTTTAGGTTGTTGCTTTTACCCTCACCTGTGCCCAGGGCTACTGACATCCAGTAAGGTTTGTTCTTTGGTTTGGAACTGAAGTGGAGACACCAGCCTATTGTTTTCCAGTGGTGGTACAAAACATAAATGGCTTTCCAGAGATGTGCTCAGAAAACAAGGCAGCTGTGACACGGGACTGGTTCCATTCTTTTTCCCCTCCGCAATCTGTTAGTCATAATCCCAAAAGAGCCTTCTCAAGGGGACACGTAGAAGGCCAATGAAGTTAAGTGGCAGAGAGGATATGGCAGATGTGCATTGACAGTTGTACCTCTGTCCGGAGATCATGATTAACTGCTTGTGAGGCCTGGTGCAAAGGAACTGTGAAGGGTGGAAACCTGCCCAGAAATGGCTTTGAAGAGTATTAACAACCCAGACCTGTCTCTGAATTCAGTGTGTCAAATGCTGGATGTGACATGAGCCTCTTGGTCCAAAAGCGGGAGAGGTGGGTCCTGCACTGTGGCACAGCCTGTCCTCCTCCCAAGGGGGCTTTCTTGTCTGTGTGACTGAGCTCTGTCCATGGGTAGCGAGGGGGACGTGATTGCCCTCCCTGCGGGGAAGTGGGGATTAAGCGCTGGGGCAAGTCTCGCAGAGCTTGTCTGTACATGGAGGTACGCTGCAGGGGTTTTGCAGCCAGGCCTGGTCAGTGCTTGAAGCTGCCAGGCTGGCTGTGCTTTTGGCCAGACGTCAAAGTCCAGGAAATCATGCTGAAGCAAGCGGTGGTTTTGCTCCTGTCTGGTATCTCAGCGGGCCACCAGCTAACACTGGCAAAGGAGTGCTGGGCTGTTTCTGATTTAATCTGGCTTGTCGCTGGCACACAGCCATGCGGGGAGCTGCCAGCATCTCCGTGTCAGTTTGGGGGGTGCATTTTGGCTCTGTTTACCTGAGGTTATGGTTCTCTTCCCCAGGCTTCTCCTCGGGCTCCCACATCAAGCACCTTTGACCTCCAGATGAAATTTGTGTGTGGCCAGTGCTGGAGGAACGGGCAGCTGGTGGAGCCAGATAAAGACCTCAAGTACTGTAGTGCCAAAGCCCGCCATTGGTGAGCAATGCAATGTTCTCTTTCCCCCACCGCTCCTCAAGGGCAGGAATTTCTCCTCTTACCTTCTCCAGGGCTTCATTTGGGCTCTTTGGAAGAGGCTATGCAGTTTCCTAGTAGCTTCTTGCAGCTCAGGGTGTTTGTCACTATAGCCAGGATTGCACATGGCTGTTTTCCAGTTTCCTGCTGTCTTCTTTACTGTTTGTATTTGCTGCCAGCATTATGCAGACTGTTACTCTGGTGTGTGCAGTCCAGCTTCCAGAATTCCCTTTTTTCCCAGTTGCTATCATTTCTCCTTAGGAGGGTCACTAAGATAGTTCTCCTCTGCGCTTGTGTATACTCCTAGCTGTTTACAGATGTCTGTCAGGTCACTATTAGCAATGATTCAGGGTATTCTGTTTCCTTTTAAATTAGTTTCCTTGGCTATTTCATTGCTTTGGTTGCTCTTCTCTGACACATCTTGTCTTTTTTCACCTCCTGGCTCCTTGGGGCCTGTGAGGATGTTTGGTGTGATAGAAGAGGAATATCAGCTAGGAAGGCACCACTGGCTCTTGGAAACTGTGACACATCTCGCCGAGGTAGCCTGGCAGGATAGGATGGAAAGGTTTATAGGACTTCACTTCCCATAGCACAAGCCACAAAGGCACAGTCCAGCATCCTATTGCAAATGTAAGACCTTTGATGAAAAAGAAACAGAAGCAGCAGCTGCTGGAGGAAGTGAGCAGGTGAGGATGACTTCCTGGAATGGGAAGGATAACACCTCTTTGTGCACCCACTGGTGCTGGAGGTTTTGCCAAGGGTATCTCCTGGTGATCACTTGCTGGTGCTGCAGGAGAATTAATACTTCCTGGCACCTGTTCATAAGACAGTTCTTGTAATGACTTGCATTTCTACTGCACCTTTCAAGCAGAAAATATTCCCCAAAGTTTTTTATGGATCTGATTGCACAGGAATTGGCTGTGTCAAAGGGTGGAATGCAGCTGTTTAGTAATCCATGGTGATGCCATGTGGGACTTGGGGGAGATTTTTGAGGCTTTATGAGAAGACATACCCCAGGAAATATGTGATAAGTACAGGGAGAAATCCTTCGAAAACACCATTCTTGTGGCTTCTCTGTCACAGATGTCCGTGTCTGGGAGCATCCAGACGGTGCAGGGACAAGCTGGACTGGAGGATCTGGTCATCTCTCAATAGTTAAGGGTCTCTGAGGAAAATAAAACCTTGTTCTGCTCTTCCTTTTGTCTCTCTGATTTATTGTCTCTTTTTCAGTTGGACGAAGGAACGTCGCGTCCTGCTGGTGATGTCCAAAGCAAAGAAGAAGTGGGTGTCTGTCCGACCACTGCCTTCCATCCGCAACTTCCCACAGCAATATGATGTAAGCCCCATGGCCAACGTGGCCACGTTCCCTTTCCTCTTCCCTCCCACCATGGTGCAGTGATTTGAGGGCTGGTCCCTTGCAGACCTGGCAGGGAGGCAGGCACGTGTTGGCTGAGGTGGGAGGCAAGGCCAGACTGATGGCAGAAAGATCTCAAACACATCCAGCAAAAGGGTGGAGCAGAAAAAGGAGCAGCACCCATTTAAACCACTCTCTGCACGTATGCGAGTTTCTAACGCTGTTAATGCAGTCACCATCTCAAGAAGTGGTTGGCACAGGGTTTGGGAATGAGATTTAAGTCTCCCCTTAGGTCAGGGTTTCTCAATGTGGGTGAGAGGCAAGACGAAGCGCTTGGGAGAAGCCTATCCCTGCCTTTGCTGTGGCTGTGCTGCTGTAGATTGTGAAACTTGCTCACAGTGTGTTTTGAAAGCAAAACTAAGAACTCAGCTAAAAAGCCACGTGCTGTGAGGAAAACTACCGATATCCAACCTCCAACCCCAGCCCTGAATATGGCGATTGTTACTTTCTCTCTTCCTGTCCTTTCCTTTCTCCCTGAAAGGAGAAAGCTCCTCTCCCCCTACCCTATGGGATCTGCTGCCCCTTAGTCCATGGGCAGGCGCAAGGCCACATGTGAGGTCTTGAGCACTCTCCAGCTGCAGGACAGTTGCTAGAAGCTGGGGAAGGGAGCAAGAGTTATTTACAGGTCCTGCAGTAGGAGATGATGCCAGCAGGTGAGTCGCAGATCATGCAGCAAAGCAGGTTGCCATACGAGTGTGTGCATTGCCTGAGCTCCCACCCAACCCCAGCCAGAGAGGAACGGTGTTGTCTCTTCTCCTCAGTTTGTGTGGGCCTGCTGGTCTCCATGCTGCTGTCCACCTCTGGTGGCAGGACGTGGGGAGAAGGGATGATTAGTAGATATGATGCTCGGAAAGCTCTTCGTTTTCTCTAGCAATGATGCTGTTGGTAGCTGGGAGGTAAAGTTGTGTGCATGCTAGTGCGGTCTAAGCAACCTGTAAGGCTACATCCCACGAGATGGCTGGAGAATGAGTCACTTTTGGGGACCAGCAACGTGACCAGCAGGAGACACTGTTGGGTCAACCCAGGTTGCTCCCTGCTGTCTCCCCCAGGGCCAGTGCTAAGCATACCTGCACCCGGTCACCTGTAGAAATTGCAACAAGAGAGAGGCCAGGTGCTGAACTGCACGTTTATGAGGAAAACTTACCCTTTGTGTCGTCAGGGGTTTGAGGAAAAGAAGCCTGAGTTAATGACGTATGAAGTGTCCTGTTTGTGACCTTTCCTGTGTGCAATTTAGTGTCCCGGCTGGTTTTTTGAACCCACTTTCCCCTCTAGCAAGGAGCGTTTGTGCAGATGCTAAGCTTTGCTCTCTGTCTTTTAACAGCTGTGTATCCATGCACAAAATGGCAGGAAATGCCAGTATGTGGGCAACTGCTCCTTCGCCCACAGCCCTGAGGAGAGAGACATGTGGACCTTCATGAAGGAAAATAAAAGTGAGTGGGGGAAATATGGGCCAGAGAGTTTGGGGAGAGGGAAGAGGAGGTTTGGGTAGTGGAGGCAGGGTCTGTTAAGACATACTCTTGACAACAGAGATGGAGCTGGATAGAGCTGGTACTATGAGCTTAGGTAGGATTATGGGGCAGTTCTGTAATTCACAGTAATTTAGAGCTGCTCTTCTTAAACGTGCATGTATATCTTGAGTCCCTCACTCGGGGACTAATGCACATTGGTCCCATGTCTTGCATTGCTCCCTTGCTGCCCTCCCTTTCTGCAGCTCTTCGAATCCAGCCTGTTCTGTCCCTCCAGTTGCCTGCACTGTCCCAGGCCTGTCTCCATATGGAGCTCTGCCAAAGCACCAGTCCTGACCTGTAGCTGCTCCTGTATCTTTCTTGTCTGTCTTGTATCTGCCTTGGCTTTCTTGCCCATTTCTGCTCATATCCCGTGCTCTGGGCTGTGGCACTCCCTGCTCATAGCATTGTATTCAAAGGGGTGGATTTCAGATCCTGAATGAGAACATCGTTGGGTGGTGCATTTGTGGAGGAGCTTGTCTGGAATTAATTGTGCAGGCTCCTGACTTACCTTCTGGGGTAAAGCTGAGGGGTTGCCCGGACTGCCAGCTCTCTGGCAGCAGTCCTTGTTTTTTCAGACCAACAGCAAGTTCTTTGCAAGGCCCAGTTCTCCAGGTGCTCACATAACTCTGTTGGGAGATACTGGAAGGCTTGAAGGGTTTCAGGCCTGCCCTGAGTTTATTCAGTCTTTGTGCTGGGATGGAGGGTCTTTCTCTCTGATGAGCCAAACACTGTTATTTGTTACAGTTCAAGTAATTTCGTTGCTCAGGCCTTTAAAGCACATCAGACCAGTCTGGGTGTGTTTGCTCAAGCACGAAGGTGAATCTGCAAACAGCCGTGTTGTTTCAGTTTGAGGGAATTAGCATTCATTATCCCCAATTGCCTTGAGTTCCTCAATTACCCATTTAGTGCAGAGTAAATCACTAACACATTGCACTTAGAGCATCACATCGGTGTCTGCAAACATTTATGTTTCCATAGCCTGTCTCAAGAGCTGATCTTGGAAGGAAAGGCAGATGTGCAGTCAAAGCTTCCACCCAAAATTTCTCTTCCCACTAGTATCCTGAGTGGGTTTTAAACCAAAAGCACCAAGAGACATTGACTGCACTCCTCTGGGCAGGTTTTGAACTTGGGGCAGGCTATCATTAGGTCTTCCTCCCCTCCCCAGTGCTTCCTGTGGCCAGCTTGCTTAAGGGCTCTCCTCCCTCTCGAGTGCTAAGGATGAAACTTAGACTTAGAGGGAAGGGACAGATCTGAATTCAGCCCCTGCCTTAGCTCCCTGGCTGGAGTGAGATACCTGCTGAGGTCAAGCAGAATCAGGCCTGTTGAAGAATCACCTTGTGAGGTGAACTCCATGGAGACCTCGGGGCACTTTCCCTCCTTCCTGAATACTTTGTGTGGCTGCGGTCACAGTTGCCCCTCGACTCATAGAAGACGCCTTGCTGCACCAGGCAGTGTGGTGTGAATTCGGTTCCTCTCCCCAGACCTCTCATCGGGGCAGGTGGCGTAGGGCTTCCCGAGCACAGGCCTTCAGTCTGACAGCAGGTGCTGCTGCACAGGAGAGGGGAGGGAAGGGCTGCCCCAGCATTTGTCCTTTTCTCGTAGTTTGTGCACGGTGCGGGAGGTTGTCTGAGTGACTTCATGGGTCACCTTTGTGCAGTACTAGATATGCAGCAGACCTATGACATGTGGCTAAAGAAACACAATCCTGGGAAGCCTGGAGAGGGGACACCGCTCACCTCGCGAGAAGGGGAGAAACAGATCCAGATGCCCACTGACTACGCTGACATCATGGTAATCAGCTGATCTCTTGTCCTTCATCCCTCCTCCTCCTTGGTGCTGACAGCCTGCCCCTCTCCTGTGTGAGCTAGCAGGGACTGTGTTGGTCTTGTGGGAAGGACCCTATGGTAGGTTAAATGGACAGCTCGGGACAGCACAGCAAGGGCAGCACAGGTGAGGCAGGAAGGGATTGACCCAGGGTCACCAAGGCTCCACAATGGCTTTTCTGTTAATCCTCAAGTCAGTAGGAGTCTACCTTAGGTTCCCTTTTGCGTGGGCTCAGCCTCTCCCCAGGGTTCCTGCATGCTCCTGGGAAAGCTGGCAAAGCCGTTGCTTGCCTGTCAGAAAGGAGGGAGAAAGTTGGAGAAGAGCTGGGTCAGGAGCCTGGGAAAACTAGAGGCAGATGTGTCTCCATAGGCCAGGGGTGGTGGCTGGTGCAGGGGTTTGTGCTCCTGAAGAGTCCTACATTGCCTGTGCACCTGGGGGCCTTGGAGTCAGATCCTACCTGGGCCACAGTGGGGGCAGGAGGGACCATGTCAGGGAACTAAGCTGCCCTGTTCTCTGAGCTTGTCTGAGCTGTAGATAGACCTCAACAAAGCACCTCCTCTGCTCCCCATTACTGGCAGTACGGTTTATTGAAGATGACATGGCAGGGAAGTGCAGGAGGTTGTAGACTGAGTGGAGCTTCCAGGATGCTCTGGAAGGAGAGGGGGAGAGGCAGTGCCACCACAGGGAAGGCTGATGGGTGGGACTGTTAACACACTGACGGGCCCTTTGCCCTGTCTGCACCGGTTAGATGGGCTACCACTGCTGGCTCTGCGGGAAGAACAGCAACAGCAAGAAGCAATGGCAGCAGCACATCCAGTCGGAGAAGCATAAGGAGAAGGTCTTCACCTCGGACAGTGACTCCAGCTGCTGGAGCTACCGCTTCCCCATGGGTGAATTCCGGCTCTGCGAAAGGTACCGTTATCTCATTTCCCTCCTGTGCTGCTGCTGCAGGGACTGGGCAACAGACCCAGGGCCTCTGTCATCCCTCCTCCTCCTTCACCACCTCCTCCTCCTCTCACAGAGTCCACAAGGACTTCTGCTTGGAGGAGGAGTGGGACGAGCTGACAAGTTTGGGTGATGGTGAGGCTGCTGTTGGACCCCAGAGGTGCTCAGCCACACTACTGAGTGATAAAAATGCATTCTTGAGCACGTGTCTTTAGAAAAGGAGAGCGAGCTTCATGGCTGCACTTGTGCCCTCCATAGACAGGATGCTCTCAGCTCTCAGACTGCTGAACAGTCTGTTTGGCCTGATGCTTGGGGCAGTCCCAGGTGCTTTATTAAATGATTTGAATGTCTTATGCCCTTTGAATCAGCGCCTTGAGGTGTCTTCAGAAGGCTTGTGATGGTTAGAAATGTCATTTTGGTTAGAGAGAAGGCTCTGTCTCTCGTGGCTGTTACTTGGCATTTCCTCTCTTGTGTGGTGGTTTCTCCTCATCCCTGCTGGTCCAGTTCCAGCTCACATGGTTTACTTCTGTTAACTAAATCCCCTCATAGACGTTGCTCTGTTTGCTGCTTTGTTTCTGTGCCTGGCCTCTGTACAAACCCTGGCTGCACAGGGGTTTGTAGGAAAATTGCTTCACCCTTAGAAAGTTCACAGCATGTTTTGGTGGGCCCCAATCAAGTGTCCCAGATGGGGAGCTCAAAACTCTGTCCTGGGGGTGCCCTCCTGATCACACTCCTTGTGCTGGCAGGTTCCAGAAGAGCAAGGCCTGCCCTGAAGGAGAGGAGTGTCGCTATGCCCATGGCCAGGATGAGCTGACGGAGTGGCTAGACCGGAGGGAGGTGCTGAAACAGAAACTGGCCAAAGCCCGCAAGGACATGCTGCTCTGCCCCAGGGATGACGACTTCGGGAAATACAACTTCCTATTGCGGGATGGCGTATAGTAAGGATTAGGGGGGGAGCCAGTTGGCTGGAGAAACATGGGGGGGGTTTCCGAGAGTGGCAGTAGCAGGGAGAGCGAGATCTGTGTCTCGCAAAGAGAACTTTTTATTTTCTTTCATTTTAAGATTATGAGACGATGATTTATTAGTGGTGAATGAAATCGTGAATTTGATTCTCCTTGGCCAGCGAACGCCATGCTCACTGAGTTTGTGATCCGTCTTCTCTCTCTTCTTTCCCCCAAATTCTCCTTCCTCTCCATCTTTTTGTTTTTGCTGTCCTCCATTCAAAGAAATTAATCCAATCTGTACTGGGCTGCGAATCAGAGAATTACTTCTTGTGTCATTCTTCTGCCCTTCAACTCAGAGTGTGGCTGCAGAGGTCTGGAGGACAAAGCTGAGAGAAAGGGCCAGACATCGGATAAAAAGGTGACCATGAAGTTCATGTGCTCCTTTTCTGGAGTTCGGTACCAGAAGAATTAGGAATTGAGGTGCAGAAGAAGGAAAACTGCTAGGTCTGGCTTAGAATATCTTGGCTTAAGCTCCTGCTGTCAATATTGCCTTGAGGCATCAACTGACGCTGAGGAGGGTAACAGCCATGTGGTGTAAAGAGTGTAGCTAAAAGCAGCAAAGTAATAAAACTGCTTGCAGCAGCGGGAACTGGATTTTGGGTGACTTCAGACTGTTTCAGCTGACTGTACCCAGAAAGCAAATTGGTGACTCCTCATTAGATGTCTTCCTCAGTGTGTGACAGGTATTCAGGCTGGGTAGTTTTGGTTTGGTTTTTTGCCTGGTGTGACTGGTTGCAAGTAAGACTGAAGCCATCCAGAAAGTGTAGTGGAGACTGTAACACACCCTGTGTCACCATACTCCATGCAGCAGTATCGGTCATGGGGAAGAAGCCTGTATTTCTGTGTTGGCTTGTGTTCTGAAGAGAGGGAAGGGAGGTAATGAGGTTCCCTTCTTGCTCTTCAAATGGAGTGTGTTACTGATTATTTAGAGATGCATTCTTTCTGTGCGCTGCTAGAAGAACTGGGTGGGCACCCATTTAAAAGGACACTGTCGAGCAGCATGGGAGATGCTTTGCTGATGGGAATCCAGCTGGAAGGGCGCTTATGAGCACCGGGGGTCCAGCCCGCTCCTCCTCAGAGCCAAGGCAGGGAGCTTGCGGATGCACAGCACAGCCAGGATGCTGCCAGGATGCAACCCAGGGCAGGGACCTCGGTGGAGGTTGAGTGGCATAGTGGGACTTGGCCATGCAGCTGCTCCTAGGTCCTGCCTGATGTGTGCCATGATGGGGGAACCAGTGCTGCTGAGCTCTGGGCTGGGATTTTTGGCTTTTGAAGTGGCAGCGGTGAGTACTGCTCTGTATGCCAGCCTTGTCCTTTCTGGTGGCCTCATCCTGTAAGCAGTAAACGTGTGTCCTGTCCTGAGCTTCCCTCTCCTTCTCTCTTCTGCAGTCCAGCTGTGCTCTGCAGTTTTGCATGCATGGATGGCACCATCCACTCAAATACAAATACATCTCCCTCCCAGCCTTTTTAGGGGATGTATTTTTCATACAGAGTCTCCCAGGACAGCAAGCTCAGAGCCCTTGGGGCTGGCAGTGATGTGTCTGTGGTAAATACAATCTGGCCATGAACTGCCCGGATTGTACCTTCTCCTGGTGCTCCTTGTGCTCAACTGGTCAATGTTATAAACAGAGGGAGACAGGGGAGGAGGTAGGCATCAGCTCCTGGGTTATCTTGTTCTGCTCTTCTTGGGCCGTGAGAAGCCAAGAAAGCGAATTTGGGTTGAGGAACGTTGGAATGTGTTTTTATTTTTAAAACAAATCTGCATCTCTAGTGTGACTCTAGCATTCGCTGCGCTGTGATTTCTCATATGATAACTTGTTTAGGTTACAGAGTGGGTCACTGTCCCCTCTCCCCTCCTCTGCAATGAGAGCTGAGCTGCTTTGTGGAGCTTTGGATGTTCAGATTGGGGCCGAGGCGGGGAGAGGGCAGGCATGCGTGAGGTGAAGGAGGCCCACGGTCACGGGGGTTGCGTCGTTTTGTTTTCCCTAATATGATAACCTGGTCCGTGGTGTTGCAGTACTTTGTCACCAGACTTGTTTTAGTGTGTATATATGTGACCCCTCCCATGAAACATATATACACAGGTATTAAATATATCGCTCTATATAATATTATATGTGTGTGGTATCGAAGGAATCTTTTAAATGAGGGTAAAGGAAAAGGACTCGGGCCAGGAAACGCAGCATCTCCAGTTTAAATATGAAGACTTTTATTTGGGTTAGGGAAAGGGAAATAACAAAGAGGGGAGGGTTTTATATAGATAGGTATAAATTTTGAGATGGGACAGGTTTCCCTGTTCACATTTTGAAACCCCCTAGGATGTCCTCGCAGTCCCATCTCAGTGACAGAGTATTATACTGCTAACTAGCAAGTAAAGTTTTAATGATAAGGCTTTGCTTATATTATTTAAAGGGACATTGTGAAAGGCAGGAAGCTTCACACTTGACTTCCCAGGCTCGCATTATCAAGCCAAGAGGGTTTTCTTCAGCACGTTACATACTCTCAGCAGAACTGCTCCGTGCTCACAGCTCTACAACAGATAAAACACAAGCTATAGGGCTGCTTTAGCAGTGCATTCACAAGGCTCTGTGATAACTCTCTTTTCTTCATTCGTGTGAGAGAAGAAAATTTTGCAGCGCAGAATCAAATTCAAGGGTTATTAACAAAAGAAGTGGTGTTTTAATTTTGTAACATCAGAAGAAAATCTCATATCCTGTAAAATCACCACAGACACAAACTCACACAGAGTAGAGAGTTTGATTTAGATCAACTTGTTAAATGCTGAAGGACTTAGTGAAAATCTTTTCCCAAATCCTTTGGTAGGGGCAGGGATTTAAGTGACGCTGGTATTGGAGTTAATCTGGCCTTTACAGGGGGAAGTAAAAAAACCAAAAAATACCCTACTTAGCTTGTATGAAACTGTATGTCAAAAATGGATGGATTTTAGCAAGTGAAAGGAAAAGATAGCAAGGGGATGCTGCAGTTCTGAGCTGGGTAGTAATGATTTCGAGTCCTTTAATATGTCTTTGTATTAATATAATTTAAGAATACCACGCTTTACTATTAAAAAAGAACTTAGTATCTTTCATAAGGTCTAGTATCAGGATAATAATGTAGATGTTTTAACAACATTTTTGTTTTTGTTCTTAAATAAAAAAAAAAATTGCTTCTTTTAGCCTTTGTAATAGAAAATAAAAGTGTGCACTTTAAACCCTCTCCTGATCCAGTGTGTGCTTGCATTTTTCAAATAGCCCGCAAAGGCTTTTTATCTTGGTTTCAGGTTTCCCTGCTGTAAGGAGGGAAGCAAAAGGAGCACTTCAAGCATTGGGTCATTTTTGCTTTCTCCTATCTTTAAATATAACCTGCTGCTCTTCTTGCTGAGTGGAAAATTGCCCATGTTGATTAACAGATTTGGCAGTTCTTCATCAGACATACAGTTCTGCTGAACTTTAGGTGTATTTAAGATTTATTTTTTTTTCTTTCCCCCAAGCACCAAGAATCTACACGTTCTGCATTAACACATAGTTTCAGGTGTTTGGGTAACCTGTGTTTTGAAACCTCCAGTAATCAGGTCTTGTAATCACCTTCATACAGAGGTTGTATGTCCAACTGGTTGGACTACAGCCAGTTCTTTTGCCTGCCAGCATGTACCCTACCCACCGATTCACATGCACCTCGGGCCGTGCGAAGCATCTGTGCCGATCCCCCCTGGAAAGGATGCTGTGTGGTGAAGATCGCACCTGAGGGAAGAGGTCAATGTGAAAACATTTATGAATAAAGCTGTTTTCTTTTTTTTTTCAAATCCATCATGATGCAGATTAACCTGGGATTCTTGATAAAGCCAAAACCTGGAGATGCAGCAAAGACAAGGAAATCCCATGGAGACACCCTGCTACTGCTGTGTAAACTGGTAGAGTGATCAGAAGGTCACGTCCAGCGAGCCCTGAGGAGAGATTTGTTACACATCTCCCCAGTGTGCCTGGATACAGACACAAGGACTCGTGTCCTTCTGGTCATAGGAGGAGAGGCCTGAAGACAAGCTTATAGTGCAGAGGGAACGAGGAGGCCAGTGCACTTTTAAGGTTCATCTGTTGAGTAGGTACAATGTGAGAGGCATCAGTTTTACTCTCCACAGAGTACTGAGGACATGCTGGCAAGAGTGAGTGTAGCTTTTCCAGAACAACGGGGACCACAACTGTCAAATTTCAAGGCAAACACAGCATGAGGAAAAAAATGAGTGTTTTCCTTGCAGGTTTGAGCCTCAGCTGTAAACCCCTCCTCACCAGTGTTTCTTCATTGAAGAAAACAAACTTGTATTTTAAAGAGGCAGGGAAAGGAGCAGTGACTTCCGTATTCAGACCCTCCTAGGAACTTCTGCAGATACAAAGACAATGGGGAGAGCCCCAGGTCAGCCAGGAAGGTTCCAGGTCTGATGGAGGATTGAGAGGAGCAGGGGTAGAGACCCCTGAGAGGTGGAGGGAAGGCTTCGTACTAAAAACCTTTAATGTTATCACACAGCAGCCTGGCAGAGGGAGCTTGCCTTGCAAAGTGTGCAAGCTGCAGATGGGATTCCTAAGCAATTCTGTGAGTGAGTCTGTCTGCCCACACTATAGGGAAATATTTCTGGGCAGTGACAGCAGGTGATGCAAATGCTGTCATCACTCTTAATTGTGTTTGCTGCAACCGTTGCAACCAAGAACAGGGCTGTGTTGCGTTGTGTCCTGTGCACAGAGAGCAGCAGACAGTTCCTGCCTTGCAGGAGCTGTATCCTGGGGAAGTGTGCTGGTCACTGGCTGGGGTGGAGGGCGTTTGCCAGGGGAAACATAGGGCAGAAAGTGATGTGCTAAATAAATGGTAAAAGAGGCCTGGATTGGAGTGGCTGGTGGGAGGGAAGTGGAGGAGGAAAGGCCGCAGGAGCGCCAGCTGAAGCAGGCAGCTGTTTGGTGTGGGGTGGAGGAAGGTGCTGAACAGACTTGGTTGGGTGCCTGTAGGGTGGCTCTGGGCAGAGGTCCTGTGGATAGCTAGCTCTTGGGGCTTCCTGGAAAGCCGTAGGCACAGCTCAGGAGCTCTGTGCCATGTCTCATCTAGCCTTACCCTTTCTCCACAGGATGGGACAGGCCCATCCATTCCAAATAACCTCTCTCCCTTCCCAGATGGATTCTCACCTCCTGCTTCTCTGCAGTTCCCCCTCCAGGCAAGAGCAACAGATCCTGGTGTCCCCAGGGCAGGGGTGTTGTTTCCTGAAAGCAGATCCAGGTGCAGCAAGACGAGGGATCAGACGAGATGACAGCTCCAGCTGACTCCTTCGCCATTGCAACAGTTTTGGCTCTGGCAGCTCCCAAGACTGCCCCTTCCATGGTGCTCCTCACTGCAGTTTAGCTTATGGATGGCAGCACCCCAGAAAACCTTTTCCTGAGAGCCTCAGGAGACACAGACATAGCAGA